GCTTGAGACATAAATCTTGCCATTGACAGCTTATAGGTTGTACTTACAGTTAAGAGTCTGAATGAGATTACTAAGAATGAGGTCATAACTAGAGAACAAATGAGATGCTTAGAAGTCAAGTGTCTGAGTACTGGGGCATGCTGAATTCTGGAAAATGAGGAGAATCTCTACCTGTCTTATCTCTATTTCCATCTCTACCTTGGTGCCTGCCATTACATCTATATCTATAGTCACATTCATGTTCTTATCCACAGCTCTATATCTATATGCATATTGATAACTATATCCATATCCAACCGAATCCATTTCCATTTCTATGTAGGCACAGATAGACACATGAATATATATATCACAATGTATGTAAAGAGATTGTACTATACTCGATCTTCAGCTATTTGTATTTTTAAATTAGTTATTTACATTCCTTGGAGACCTTTCCATGATACCATATCCTGCTCCACCTCACTCTCTTCTAGCTGCAGTCTTGTAGTGTTGCAAAATTCAGAACAGTTCCCCACTGACTGACACTCAGTTTGTTCCTATTTAGATTATTTCCCATTGCTAACAGCATTCCAGGTTTTTTTTTTTCAATAAATTTTTACTGAGGAAAAAATGATTATAACTAATATAAATGCACACTTATTACACTTCTGATTTTGTTTTTCTAGGAAAAAGGATAGCCAAAAAAACCTAATATACCTCTACATCAGTAGGTGTATTTCTGTAGGACATATCCCAACAGATGAATTTCTGGTTAAAAATATTTGCAGTTTTAAGTTTGACAGACATTATCAAAATGCTTTACAGCAAGGCAGCCCTCTCAGTTTGTAAAGTTTTGTAAAAAGGTATTCACAAGTTGAGTGATCACAGTCTCAACTGATTCATTTCTGTAAAGTCAAAACAGTACCCGACACAGGTCACAGAATATAAAGTTCTGATTGGTGATGGGAGGAAGGGGAGTTCTTCCATAGTCACAAGGCCCTGGGACATTTGTATAATTATGGCTTCTGGTTCCATAAAAGACCAAATCAAGGCAGAAGTTTACTTTTGATGTTGTAACCACTTCATTCTAAAAATTGTTACTGTTATAAATATAAGCCAAACTTCGATATAAGTGGTAGACAGTTAGATAGAAATGAGCACCAGGCAAGGGGAGAGGAAGGGGGAAGGAGCAGCCCAGACAATAACAGTACACTTGTGCTCAGGATAAGGGGCTCCAAAAACTTTCCCTTTTCTGAATGAGGGCAAGCCAAGAAGCCGGCTAGAATCGAACACTGCTGCTGCATTGTAAAGAGAAGGACCAGGCTTAAGTTGACCCAATGCTCATTACAATGTAATTAACATTGCAGTTTGAGCTCCCACCTGTAGGTTTCTCTGTGTGCATCATGCGTAAAAACATGCGTAAAAGAGATGGGCGTGCCTGAGCACAAACAAGGAAGGTGAGTTGTCACTAGTCTGAGTAGTCAAAGAACCTGAGCCATCAATTAATCAATCAATCACGAAAACACCTCTAAGCTAGGATATAAACAAAGAAGTGGTACCATTTTTCCTCTCTTGGGTTGTCCTGCCCCCAGTTCTTGGGGGTGTACTATGTTTTACTACCTTTTTACTTTACTAATAAAATCTTCTGTTTATATCATGCTTTCTGTCTCTCTTAAAAATTCATTTTTTTCAGGTGACTAAGAACCCAGGTATGTTTTTTCCCCTCTTCCCAGTAACATAAACATTTAGAATTTAATTGCATAATGTGCTTGTCATAACTGACTAGCTTTTTGGACAAAAATAAATTTATATATTCACACTTTATCACCTAAAGCAATTTCAAATGAATGGAAGTGTTAAATATTAAAAATAAAATCATCAAAGCACTGAACATCCACCAACATCACCACAACAGCAGTACCAGCAATTAAAAACAACCAATCTAAGAATGAATATTTAACTATAATTTTAAGAGAAAATAACTTCCAAAACCTCCAAAAGGTTGAAAAAATTGCTAAATTTTAGTAGAAGAGTATTTCTGCATAAAGTAACTGAATCTCTCAGTACTTTAGAAAAGCATACAAGACATAAAAAGTAAAAGTTAATATTGGTTGCAACAAATATCAAATCAAATATATTACTATATCAAAATATTATTCAACTAAACAAACCAACATTAAGACTTAAGAAAATGGAACAAAGCATGAAAAACTATATTAAAGAGAAATTAGAACCATAAACACCTATTTGGAATAATAATGCTCAATTTCACGAGAAACCAAATAAACACATATTAAAATGATGTACTACATTTAATCTATCAACTACAACACTTAAAAAGATACTGAGAAAACGAAGTGGCTCCAAGGATGACATGAAATGGACATTTTCATAAATTGCTAGCAGTAATTTTAGAGAGCAATATAGTGCTAAAGACCGCACTTACAGATACTATGTTCTGATTCACATATAAATTATTTTCTCCCCCCTGAGAAAATAATGTATATATGAAATAAATATTTAATTATTAAAATTAATAGTTGAGGTATTTATGAAAGCAAAAACTTATTCTACCTAAATATTCAATGATTAGGAAATAGATACCTATGAGTATACCTATATAATGGATTATTACACAGAATTTATCATTGCTTAAGAGGAACAAGTAATACTAAGGACATGATTAGCATGTAAGTGAAAAAACACAAGATCCAATCTGATTAGACATTATGATTAGAGCTTTAGAGAGAAACACTCAATGACAGATTAAATGAAAGGAAATACATCAAAATATTTATAGTGGTTATATTTGGCTGGTGGGTCTTTATGTACTTCCTAAGTATACACTTTTATATATTTGAAATGCACTTTAGTTGGAATATATAACTTTATGGTGGAACTGTAATTTCATGAAATAAAAAATATTTTTGTTCTGTATTATAAAAATTCATTCTGACTCTTTCTTCTTGGCTTTAGGGAAATATATACCTTTTAACCTCTGGATTCTGAGGCTTTTCCTGAAATTCCATATGATAGGAATTCAAATCTTTCTTGAGAGAAGAATTACATACCTGAAAGAAGCAGTCTCTGGGTCATTAATTCTGCCTCCTAAAGAATTTTCAGAGTTTCCAGTCTTCAAAGCACTCCCCTCTGTCCTATATGAGAAAGATAAATTCTGTATTGTATCTGTAATGTGGTCAGTGCCAACTTTAGCAACAGGCAGTGATGCCCCCTCTCCAACATGAACCTGTGTTAGTGCATCCATTTTAAAGTTTCTGAGAGTATAAATCTTGCTCAGTGCTTTGAATTTGCAGAGAATCTATCACCAGGGCAAGCAGACCAAGTACTGTGCCCCAGCAAAGGGAGTAGAGAAAGAAAATTGAGGCATTAAATAAGTTGCCCACTGTAGAGTAGTTGAAAAGAAAACTGATACTCAAAATTTCCACTAAGTGATTTCCATATCCTTTAAACTTTTCAAATTACCAGGATACACTGAAGTCTTTAAATTTGTTCTACCTTATGACCACTGAGTTAGCAGAATTAAAACTCGGGAATGTGAATGAACAGTGTGCCTGACAGCAAAGTTTCCCTTGAGGGCAACTCAAAGTAGGAGTAGATGTGCATTCCAAAGACAGGACTTTTCTGCACCCAACTTCAAGATCTAAGTCTTAGCATTTTAAAATGAACTGTCAGACCTGAATCACAAGTAATAATAGAGATTAATCAATAACCTAAGTGTAAACGTACATGTATATTTATATGTATTATGCCAGGAACAGATACACATATTTGTACACATATATATTATGTATGTAAGGCACGTTTACACGCTCTTTTAGTAAGCTTAAAGTTTATATTTAGCTTGTGAAGTAGTGGAATATGGTGGGTTATCTCCTGACCCAGCATCAGGTCTCTCAATTGCTATCTAATTAATTAGGAAATAGTATTTGCTCACTTAGAAACTACAAACCTAGTCTTTTATTCTTCAAAGTAATTTGTTAATTAATTTATTCTTATATTCAGGTGCATATTTGTTATTTTTATTCTGACTTCTGAAACATTTTCTACATCTCACTATGAAGAGTAAAATATTTAATGCATTAACAAAGTAATACTTATCAAATGAGTGGTCTTTTTACACTGACTCTTCAACAAAATGCATTGGTTTGCTATCATCTGAAACACTGTGCAGTTTATAAATACATTTCCTGGGAGACCTCATCAGCTTATGCATTTTTTAAGAGACACCTAGCTCTACTGCAAGTCATAGGCAGTATCCAGCATCGCAGCTCTTCCATCTGGCCTAAATTTTGCTACCTCTATTTGTACATCTTCACATGAGGAACACTCTAGGAACTAAAAACTGTTCTTTCCTTCATTATGCATGTGGCGTGCAATGCAATTTACCACCTAACAGATGTCATAGCTAAGTACCCAGGATCATGTCATGATTCATTCATCTTAAGACAATCTGCTTCAGAAATGCATGGCTTTTTATAAATTGAAAGAATTTGGATTTTGAGTAATTCTATAAAATGCTATTTATAACTTTAATTTTTTCCCTTAAAACACAATTACAGGCTTCAGATTGTTTGTTTGCAGGATAGCCGCCTCTTTTTGGTTTGACTTTGAATGTCTCTGCCACTGAAAAATAATAAAAAAGTATCAAATTTTTTACCAGAATGGCTATAGCAGTAACACTGGCTATTATCCTAAAATTGAGGCTTGGATGTCTAGGCAAATCTGGTGAAACATTATTTCTCTGCCCTCATAAAGCAGGCAAAAAATTCCTGCTGGGTGGTATTTTACATAATATTGTCATTAAACACGGTCTATCTTTAGCGGAAGAAGCAGACAGTAATAAGTCAAATAGGAATGAAGAATTATGTGAATCTGAGGAGATACACTTGCAAATGAGTAACTGAAATTATTATTAAAGGTAGAAATATAACATCTAGGTTAATAGACAAAAAGGTTGAAAGAAATGTTTAACTATTGAGAGTAATTACGGAAGGATTTTTCGTAAAAGAAATGTTTTGTAGTCTCCTATTTTTGGAGGTTTATTTTTCTATGCTGGAATAAAGAACCCATAGATTCTTCGCTGCAGCTGTTTCAATCTTGATTAATCTAAGTATTGTGACCATAAAAGGGAAAGTAGCTTAATTAAAAAATGTTAGAGCAGAATAGAATACATCTGCAATAATCTCCCTTCTCTTTTTGACTAAATGCAAGAAAGAACATCATCCTTTCTTTTAAAGGGAACAAATCAATACCCGTGCTCTTGCAATTACCCTCGAGGCACAATGTTACACAGACGGGTGCACAAACAAAGGAATCATAGGTTAAAAACCATATCCCTCAACATTAAAAAAAAGAAGAGAACTGTTTAAGTCTTGCTACATTTATTTCTGTTCTTCTTCCCCCAGTCAAACACTACCACCACTGCAACTCCCAACCTTAATCTCAAACAACATTTCTCCCAAATGTGTAAGTCTGTTCTTTGTTATTTAACTGTTTTTAATTTCCTCTCAAAGGGATCCAAATTGATTTCCTTATTACCTTGAGGTGAATATGTCTCATTGGGTTGATGTTTAGATTGTTTATAAAATAAATTTATCCTTTTAATATTTACACAGCTCTTGAGAAATATGAGGTAAAGACACAGCAGGAAAGTTTCCTAGTTGGGAATTCTGTGTTTTCCTCTCCTGTGAATACAGAAATTGATTTCCTATGTGCATTTGTAGGAGCCTGATGGGAGATAGTTTTCTTATGATTGTGCTACCAATTGCTTTCAGTAAGTATCTGTAATGAAAGGCTACAATGAAAGAGAATACATAGTTTAAACTGGAATGGGTGAACACTTAAAATTTATTGTATATTGGTAAAAGTTTCCTTTTTGATAAGTTTAAGAATACATCTAAAATTTTTCAAGAGTCACAACAGGAAAAGCAACAGTATTAGGCAGACAGCTTTGCAGTATTAATCATCAAGATCTATGATTCTAATATCATTGTCTTACCTCCCTCAGCAATTATCTCAATTTCTTTACCACATAACCAACCTAGTTCCATGGCAGTTGCATTACATCATGGCTGAGACAGATGACAATACAGACATAAGTTATTTTTCAGTGGGAATTAATTTCCCACGAAAAATTGAATTATTTGTTATTTTCAATTCTTCCCTGTGTTTGATTTAATTTTAAAGGATCTTTTTACTACTCCATGTGAAAATAATAAAACATTTTTAATAATGCCCAATAATACTGTATACAGAATAAAACCAAGCACCACCCACCGCTTAGCTCCCCAGAGTCCATATTAAAGGCTAAACAAAACATACCACACAAAATTAAGGGAAGGAATGGGACCAAACTAGACTGAACAATAGGAGAGTATTTTATTTCTTTGGCTTAAGTATAACATGGGAATATAAAGCTATCCGTATTCCTAATATAAAACTGAAAATAATACTTTGCTTTGCAGGTCCTTCAGGAATTGACAGAAGAGGCTATTTGGTTAAAACATTTTCTAATTCTCTTCATTTTGGCTACATTCAGGGCTATAAACTGCATATGTTTGAAAGAGCAATTCCTGTATTGTTTTTAGAAACATACTAAGGAAACCTCTTTTTTACACTGTGGGACCATTTTATAGATTCTGTTTCTTCTACACAGAAAATGTGCCTGCTATCCAGCTGGCTCCTTCAGAAGTTGCTTCTTGGTATGGGCAAAAGTCCCTGAAAAGACTCAGTTGTCAAGTTGTCTTGAGGTGCCCCTGAACTGACTGAAAAACTAATAAACTTGATTTCAGGAACCTAGAGAATAAGAGAAGCTATCTTTTAAGGACATATCTTGTTTAAAATTGGCAACAAAGAATGGTTGCAATTGAGTTACTTGCTGAGGGAAGGGGATCTATAACCACCAAGTTATATCTAGCAAAAGACTTAGCAATGGAGAAACAATACATATAGGGTTTATTCAGTCCACCCTGTCATTAGATCAGGTCTTCTCGTCCCAAATTCACATTGCTACAGAGGACAGGCAAGTAATGCAAATGAGTGAAACAGGGCAGGTTAGGCATGAGTGTTTGGAAAACATTTGAGTTTCTCACGAAAAAAGAGAGATGTACATGTCATTGTCTCTGATGAAATGCATGTGGCCAGAAACATACACACAACTATCTGAGTCCACTGATTGATCCCAGTAAGCAGCAAGTACCAGATATTCCACTTACTATTTGTTTGACTTGACACATTTAAAATGCTTCAACTAGTACCTTGTACATACCAAGGGCTTTATACATTTTTATTGTTATACATGTTTGTTCTGTGCCTCTTCCTCAATTTTCCAGTTTTTATACACATGCACAGTGCAGAGACACACATATACTCACAGACACACTCACTGATAAAAATATTAAAAATGAATTGGGAGGGTAAGACAGAAGCTCCAAGACTGGATAATTCATATCCACTTTCTACTCTCCTTCACCCTTTTCTGTCTTCTCTGTGCCCCAGAAGGCTGACCTCTATGAATGACACAAATTGCTGGCTCCTGTGCCCTCTGGCTTCCAGGCAGATTTGTCTAAGGGGAGGCACCCACTGCAGACCGGAAGGAGTAAGGAAAACAATGCCAGTGGGTTTATTTCTCTGCTTCCTCCCTGTTGGAATGCTGCTAGCTTGGTGGATTCCTCTGTGAAAGGAGCCTTAACAACCTTCAAGGCTCATGGCTGTCTCACCTTCGGCTCCTTTCTCCTTTGCCCCTTTCAGCCTGGGAGGTGGCAGCTCCTACTCTTGCTAGCCCTGACATGTTTAACCACACCTTGCGGTGGGTGAATGCTCATGACTGTCAATCACTGTCCTCAACAAGCCTGTTGATTATGCCATCTCTTTCTTGCCTGGACCCTGACTGATATAGGCTCTTATTTAAAATGGCTTAGTATCTCCTCTCTTCTTTCTCTAAATTCTGCTAAAATGATGGAAGACACAGTAAAATGATAATGAACCTACAGAAAACCTGGCTATCCAATGGGGTAGTGGCTACACAACATATGAGTAAATTGACACCGACAGTGAAAATCAACTGAATTGAGATCATGCACCAACCCGACCATATAGGGGACCTTCAAAACAATGGATTTCCTTGCTCCCCAAA